GGCAAGGATCAATAACAATATTTTAAAACCGACTTCTCTTTAACCTCGGTATTACTAATCAACATGTATTCTTTCTATGTTACTAAATTGTTATTTTGTTTAAAATCGTTTTAGTGATTCAGACTCATCATGTGGAATCGACAAACATATAAAAAGTTTTAAAAAACCGATATACTTTCTACATTTTAAAAAACTTTACAAAATAAAATGCTGACGCAGTGTGGTTGGAAGGTGGATGCGTTTTTTTTGATCAGATACAAGGGTTGGATGCTTTTGTATCCTATGCGTGCCTAGTGGGGTGCTTCGTCTTAGTTTTCGTTTGCCATCTAGGTGTTCTTTTATACGAATACACAAAGGTCTGCCCGTTTCGCCAATATATTCATCTACGCAATTATTACAAGAGATCAGGCATATCGTAACTGAACTCATGCAATCATCGTCCCTGCCGTAAGGGCAAATTTCGCAATTCGTTGTTTCACACAGTCGGTCATACAGGCGGTACGAACTAATTGACGACGTAGAGTAGCCGGTGGTAATTCAACTATCGCTACCGATTCCTCTAGACCTGCCCTTCTTAAGCATCGTTTTATAGCTACGCTTACTTCATCGCTTATAAAAGGCAACATAAACGGGATTTTGTTTTGGCCAAGTGTTTCGCGCGGACGCGTCGTTTTCCTTGTAAACTTATCTCGTGGAGTTACTATTTCGTAGCCATTGGAGATGGCTATTTGCCGGGCAAAGTCGCGCGATTTTTCCTTTAGTTCCCTGGTAGTGCACACAGAGGTGGCTGTTCGAAACATGTTTCTCACAATCGCCCTCTTTGTGTGTGAAGGGTGGGAAGAAAGGAAATGGACAAGGATGTTCTTGTTACTTGGCTTTCGATACAACTTTGTCAGGTAACCGCTACTTGATAGGTTTATTTGAACGTCCAAAAACGGAAGCCAGTTTTCTCTCGGTTTCTCCCGGGTGAACTTTATGTACTCGGACTGCTCGTTCAATAATTCAAAGCATTAGCTCCTCCTGCGTAGAGAAGACGAAAGACCAGCGCGAAAACTTCTTGAGGTTTTTTGGATAAATGCCAAAAACCCTACAATGAATAGCAGGGATGAGTGCCCAGAAGTCATAAGCGACACTGTCTGTTCGCAACAATTTCTGATGTGGGATGGTGCAGTCGTCAACCACATGCGACTATAATCAGCTGTTCTAAACTTCCTCATTGGAAGTCACGAAAAAGCGGTGGGTTTTTCGAGAAGTTGTTGATCGTGTAATTACCAAAGGGTCTTTCGTCTTTGTGTAAGTGTTATTGAAGCGTTTGGCCTAGTAGATTGTATATCAGTATACCCTTCCAGGCTCTGGAGAAGGCGATACTGCCGAAACATCAGCTAGCGTTGTATTGCATTTTGTTTTCTTTATGGAAGTAAATGTATGCTGTTTAAAAACCTCGCGATTGCTGAACAAGAAAACGACGCATTCATATTCCAGTGCCGAGGTTAATAGAAAGTCGATCCTGGAAACTATGACAATCAGAAAAAAGCAAAAATAATAGAACTGGATTCTTGCTCTACTCAACCCACTCGGCGACACAGAGGCAGCCACACTGGTGTGTCAACCTAGGAAGCTTAAGCAAGACTTGCCCCAGTCCCAGCATCAAAAAGTACTCCAGGCAGTCGACGCGGCAGCTTCATCAGAGTTAGAACCGTTAGGAAAACAGTTTCCATGGAAAAAATGGTAGTCTCTATACTATCCACAAATTATTTTATTTTGATGACAGCTCGTAGCAGACATTCCGACACTGTGAGTATGTCACTGTGCGGATCACAGAACTTTTCCCATTCGATTTGTTTTACTGCATCCACCTCCCGCGGTGTCCGCACAATTTTTGTGTGTGCCTTCGGCTGATGCCTAAAGCTTTCTTCATCTTCGTCACAAATGTCGTTACACAGACAAGTCGAAGCTTGTTAAGTAGCCGCCGAAGCCTTGGTTGCTTCAGAAATGGTTGTCTTTTTTCTAAGAAAGCCAGTGAACTTATCCACTACATGCATGTACGAACACTCTTCGGCATTGCCGAATGACTTGAACGGGTGACATAAACCAGTAAACTATTCTGACTCATTCTGGTTGCATACTGGCGTTGCGCGATTTTTGCAGGAGTTTGGCAGACAAGAAAGAAGCGTTACTTTCGGAATCAATTCTCATGAAGAATCCCTACGGCTAAATCTGTAGTCGCTTGGATTTATTTTTGAGTGCGCCTGAAACACAGCAACTGCTCGATATTGTCCAGCGTCAATCTCTCTTATGCCTCATCTATCTCACCTATTTGATTATCGATGTCTTACCACACACAGCAGTTCTCCTGTTCCATGACACTAAACGGAGTACATTTCTCTAAAGAATATGTTTTAGAAGAATGAATAGTGAATACGAAGGAGTGAACGCTCAGCCGACTGTTAATTAGCTTTTGGGCACTCTTTTGAGCATGCCGGTCAAGCAATTTGACTAAGAGTAACACGTATCTCACAAATAAGGTAAGGCATTCGAAGCTCTAACCTGCATCAGCGATCAGAAATCAAATATGCCATTCTATACGTCAAACTATCGTAAATAGAGTGAGCGGAACACATAATGCATTTGAACGACAATAGAGGGACAAGAGCTGTTAGTGACTGGATTCTACGGCAAATCAAACGTACTGCAGAAGGACCACCGACCCAATGGTCAGAGTTCTTCACGATGACCCTAGAAGGAAGGCATGACCTCTATGGAAGGCGTGGTATGGAAGAAAGATATGACCAACGAGTCTCTCCAGCGAGCAGAACCCACTGGGCTTCCCCTTCAAGCAACAGAGACTAACGGGAGATTTACTGGCGGCACCTCGATTCACTCGATGATCAGCGGGACTGATGGTGATGCAGGTGACAGGTGAAGGGTGCAGAAATCCACATATATACTGCCAAACATGTCTTGCATTCGTGCAGTCGTTAGCTCACATTTCCAATTAGTTTGGTACATTGATGGTTTGGCAAGACTGTTCGACCGCAGTGTCTCCATAGGCCCCACCCACATAAAGTCGCTGATCTGTTCGGAACGAAACATCCTTATCACCATTTTCCCCTAGAGCTGCAGTGATTATCAACACTGGCCTAACCTTATTTTAGTTCTTATGTTTAAGACCGTTGATCTTTACTATTGTATAATACAACAAGGTCAAACATGTTCGGAAATGCAGTAATCGCCTTTAAAGTCCCAAAAGCAGTTTTTAAAAAAGCAAATAAATGTTAATATTAATATAATACGACCTTACGACCAGTGCCGTGATCGTTGACCGGAGGGGACGACGAGGCGTCGTGGAATTGCTTCGTTTTCCCCTGGTCCTGAAATAGGTTGTTCTATAATTAATCGTCTGGAACAGCAGTTAAAAAGAAGATTCGTTTTTAAACTTTATAAATAGACCTGCTGTAACTTAGGACTGAGTCTTGTTCACAAGCATTTCGTCGTCTGTCTATTAATGTGCCGCGACAGTTAGTGTGCGACGGGTGAAGCCGTTGTGAAGTGAACGCCGCGTTAGCGATTTTGTCTCAGCTTATTGTATTCAACTTTTAGCTTGTTGACCAGTACTGCCGTTAACGGAAAATTGGTCTGCAAACTGTAACAAATTATGCAAGCAATGTTTTCAACTGTAAGAGGTTTAAGAGGTGGACGGCTATTGATCTTTTTATCTGGAGTTTAACTTCTCAACATTTTTCATTAGAAGAAACTGTCACGCGGCCGTTTAGTATGAGCACAGTCCTGCTCCGACTCCATCAGAGCCCGTAGAGCTAACCATCATCGTTTTGAAGTCGGAAATGGCTGCCGATTTGTCTGGAATCTGTTCGTTCCATCGCGGCCACAAAAGATAGAGCTCGTTCTTGGTGATTATCACGGACGATGTAGCACGGCTGTCCTAGGACCTATAGGACGATCGACTCAACTCGCGTTCACTGGCATTTATAGGAAAGAGAAGGCGAATACACGAGGAGATTTATGAGTTTTCGTGGATTACAGAAGAGTGGAAACGAGTCGAGTCTAGTACGATGAGTGCTCAGGTCGGCACTATATTAAATTTCGGGTCGTGTAAGTCCAAAAAAAAATGTGATTATTAAAAACAAATTAACACATAGGGTTTTGCAAACGTTTCTGACACCGCTTTTGTGACGTGACAGTGTATTTTCACAGATATGTGGTTCGTTTTAAGAATCTAAAATGTTCACATGCATATTCGACCGTTTCACAAGACCCCTTACACCGCTGTGAAGCCAGTTGGGTTCACCGATTCAATTTGGTAGTAACGAGGCTTTAGATATCACTGAGGTCACATATTCACGCTGCTTCTATAAACTCACAATGTCTCAGGATTCTTACAAACCTTACATGAGTTCTCTGCGGTTGGGTTCCATAATATTAGGCTGCGAATCGGTTTGCAGCTGATCTTCATCAACTGTTTTCGGATATTTCAATGTTCATCTTTCCGACCGCGTTTGTGCCATTACATAGACTCCTCCACCGTGGAATCTGACGTTTGCAAAGCACAATCTGATGTGGTCTAATCTTCATTGTCATCGCACCGATCCAGAAAGTATGTCTTTTCAAACTTGTGTAGTTTTTATATGTACGTGTGTATGTATGTATGTATGTATGTATGTAGGTATGTATGTATGTATGTATGTATGCATGTATGTATGTATGTGATGTATGCAATGTAACGTGTGTTGTGTGCGTAATACATGTAATGCATGCATTCATGTAGGCGTGCACCTATTTATGTGGACAGGTGTGTGTGTGTGTGTGTGTGTGTATGTGTGTGTGTGTGTGTGTGTGTGTGTGTGTGTGTGTGTGTGTGTGTGTGTGGGTTTGAATGATTTTGTGTTTTGTGTTTTGTGTCTGTATCTGTCTCTTTTCAACCAGAACGAATTACCAGTGTGGTCGAGACACTGAATAGAATTCATCTAACAGTGTCATCCTTCTCAATTTTTCGTCTTTTTCGTCGCGGATATCCGTTCCACTTGTAACGAACTGAGGTTGGACTGAGAGCCGTGCAGAAGATCCGACTGAAAATAGGAACGACCAACATTCGAGATGAAGCTTATAAATTTTCCACAATAACCCGGATAGAAACAAACCACAAACAGAATCTCCTTCTCAAGATCCTCAATCTCATTTATGGGAACCACACCAAGAGCCCTTCTCTCGGTGTTCTTCCGTGCGCTACTCGAACGACTGAAATTATTGGTAACGGATGAAAATTGGACAATATTGACGACCAAATCTGAACGACTGAAATTATTGGTAACGGATGAAAATTGGACAATATTGACGACCAAATCTGAACGACGACATTTGCTCCTCGTCGCCATTCTGAGGACTTCTATTTTTCTTTATTTTCGCTGAATATGATGTTGTACTCTGATGTATTTGTGACGCAAAGCTAAGAATTCAAGATCTCGAATATATTTCTAGCTTTGATATAAACCCTTCTGCTTCTTGCGACTGATTAATTTGTTCCCGCTGTCGCATTAAAGCAAGTGTCAAACGTAAAGCTAACGACGAATAATGGACCGTTAAAACGACGGACAATGTTAGAAAAGAACGTATTCTATTGTTCTGCTCTAGCCCACAAATATTGAAATCCGCGTAATCGTGTAAACTACGGATCTCCCTCGTAAGATGGATCTTGAACCGGTTAGTCGCGAGGCTACGTCCTACGTTCCCGGGTGGCGGATAGAGGATTATTCGCGGACCAAAAGCGACCTTTGCTTTCCTGAAGAGCGGTTGGATCTAACGTGCGGGCTCCCTGTTTCTGCTGCACCAATTTTGCACTTGCTTTCTGCATTTACGAGGCGTATTTTTGCTTGCTTCCGTGGGTGCATTCTAGTTAATGCTGATTATATTCTGCGAGTCTATTCGGCCAAAAGACAGCAATTCTTCCCTGATACACCTACTAATACACACTGCAGTGTCCCTATAGGACCAGACCACACAAATTCGCTCATCCGTTTGTGATGAAACCTCTTTGTCACTAGGTTCTTCCGAAGCGGTAGTGATTGTCGACGTTAGCTTAATCTTATTTCACGTCTTTGTTTTTGAGCTTGTCGTAGGCTTCTGTCTGAATCTTCAACTTTCACCGTCCCGCTTTGTTTAGTGGGGGCACGATTTGGATTCTACGCAAAAATTTCAGTAAGTTGGAATATCTACGTAAGATTTTCAGATAATTGACAACATTTTAGATCAAATCGCTAATTTTAATCGTCTGTATTCTGCCACTAATTTGAACTCTATAAAGCTGTGAGGGATTTCCGCTTGCATCTACATGAACTGAAAACAGCAACTTCTTCCTAAGAGATTGACCAAAGCCGAACAATTTACACTTTTTCCACCCGAAAAAAACTGTTGTGAAAGCGCTGAGGCCAAAAGTGAAGTAAAACGAAAGGGATGGCAAATGAAACATACAAGCCAAAAGCCACCGGCACTGCTTCGGCCTTCGTCTATTGGTAGAAGGCGTAGTGAGCCATTGTAGAGCTGCTCATCACTTCATCATTATTGAAAATGAAAACCACTTCTAGTTGATCTCATTGCGTTTTTCCACATACAACTTAGGGTTGATAACGACAAGGCTACACGTAGCATCGCAGACGTGATACTGGCGGTCAATAGACAACATGTATTACAAATGCTCTCGTTGATGCCTATCGGCTCACGGTCACTGAGAGGTATTCCATAGTGTTAACCTGCTATTTAAAGCAGGGCTTTATTTTACCAGCGAGCCACGAACTTTCACAATTCTGTTAGGAATAGCATAACAGGAATCACTGGAGCTGGTTTGGAAGAAACCCAGACGTCAAGTTAATGGCCGCCCACTTATTCAAGAGGAGGACCGATGACTAGTTGGTGGTGAACACTTCGGTTTTTAGGCTCAACAAATGTCCAACTATCAGAGCACAAGACGAAACCTTTCGTCTCATGAGCACCGATCGGCCAAGAAGCAAGTACGAAGTGACAAGCTGGAGATTCGACGTCTCTTTTCACCTTGTTATTTCACTAACCTGTACCCTAACCTTACAAAGTAGCAAAGGAAATAGATAATGAAACGCCGCTGTTCATTAAGAAAAGGTGAATTTTGCTTACACGTAAAGTGTAGTGGTTATCGATGCCAGCCAATAATAAACGCGTGGCTCCTCGTGCTACTCTACACTAAGTCAACTAAGCCTTACTTCCATTCCTGCTCACCAAATTGTTGTGGTAAAGTCTTGAGAACGCTAGAGTTACAATGTTTTGCGTTTTATTTTCTACCTACTACAATTTTCACGGCAGGGCACTAAGCGAAATACAACCACAACGTTGCTGAGATATTTGCAAAACTCTGGACCGCAGGTGTCTATGGTGTGGAACGAACGCGCTACTGTCCTTTCCGGGGAGTAGCGCGTTTACCAGCACACTATGCGGGTCATGCGTTTCTGCTGTCTCTCATCTAGTTCTATCGATCAGTGCCATCAGCAATCACCCGTCAACGGGATTGACCTGGGAAGCCCACATCGGCAGCGAACCCAGTTAAGCTAAGGCTGCAGTTATAATCACAACTTTAACTTATTATTTGCTGCCTACTCTTTTTTTTTGACGGTAGGGTATATTGCGAAATATAACTTGCTGAGAGACAGGCGAAACGAAGGACCCGCATGGTGTGGTGGTGAACGCGTTACTCACCGGAAAAGACAATAGCGCGCTCGTTCCCCATCATAGACGACTGCGGTCTAGAGTTTTGCAAATATCTCAGCAACGTTGTGGTTGTATTTCACTAGAGCTACATTTATTCCATAAAAAATTAACTAGCGCAGCATTTAACGACACCCAAGGAGAAGGCAGCGTCCTTTAGTGACTGCCGAAGCCAACGACCAATGGGTCGGTGGAGTTCCTGCAGTACGCTTGACATCCAAAAAAATCCAGTCACTAACGGCTCTTCTCAAACGGTTGTCGTCCATCTGCATTACGCTTCCGACCCACATTAACTTCGGCATTTGGGTGTGAAGAACAGCGTCTGTGATTTTTGATCGTTCATGAAGGTTAGATTTCGGATCCCTTCACTTACAAGTGTGATACATTACCGTTCTTTGGACTGCGCGCTCAATAACGCTCATTGATCTTTCCTTCGGCTTGCGTTGTGAGCAGCTTTCTCACATATGTTAACGGAAGAGGAATCGTGGAGTCGAAGAGGTGGGAGCAGAATCGGGTGCTCTTTGTCTTCCTCACTACAACATCAATGCTCTTGAAATTACTCCAGGTCGATCGCTTCATCTTGTCCAACTTTGGAGCAAAGTGGTTTATCACGTTGACTTTCATACCCAGATAGTAGCAGTTGAAGCACTCAGAGATTTTCTTTATGTTGTGCACTAATGGCGCCTGCGTACTCCTCGTGAACATCGTTTTTGTAAGATTTAGGCGAAGACCAACCTTTCCACAGGTTTTATCAAAGTCGGTAAGCATTCGTTTCGTTTTGCTGATGTTTGGTGTTATAAGGATGATGTCGTCAGAAAGCGAAGATGATATGATTGGCAACCATCGATCTTCACTCCCATGTTGTCCTATTCCAGTGCTCGCATGACGATCTCGAGGGTGAAGGAAAATAATTTTGTCGAAATGGTACGGCCTTCTGTAACCTCTCTTTTGACGTCGATGGTAATATCGCTGTGAAGTGGTGATATCTTCGTTGTGAAATTTTTGTACAGCTCACAAAGAATCTTTACAAATTGAGTAGAGACTCGCTGACTATCAGTGGGCTTCCATTACTGCCTCTCTCTCAGTTGAGTCAAGGCCGTCTTTAAATAGATGGAATTGAAACAGAGCGGTCTTTTGTATTCTCGCGATACTTCAGTGAGCCTCGTTATCGTATGGATGTGTTCCATCGTAGTAAATCCTTTTCGAAACCCTGCTTGCTTACATGGATGTCCCTCGTTCAGTGTTCCGTCATTTCTTTTTAGCATGACTCTAGTTAAAATTTTGTAGACGACAGGCAATAATCAAATTGGGCTATGTTGCCGTCATTGTGGAAGTCACACTTCTTGAAAAATAGCACGGTCTTGCTGGGCTTCCATTGAGTAGAGACCTTGCATTCAGAAAGGTAACGTGTGAAAAACCGTGCCAGTCCGTTTACGAGGACAAGCGGAAGGTTTTTCAGGTGTTCAGATTTTATTAGGTCCGGACCTGATGATGTCCGATTTTTCACAGACGAAATGGCATATTCGATTTCGAAAGGCAGAACCGGTGGTGCAACATATCCATCTTCCTTTATTTTACGAGAGCGAAGGAGGGCGTCTCTATGGAAGAGATATGAGTAGAAACCATGAATGAGTTTCTCAATTGCCTTTCTCGGCGCTATAAATGCTTCGTTTGGGAGCCGGAATACAATCATTTTGGTTTTGTAATTTGCGAAACTTCTGTGGGCCTTGCCGCTACTTTTCACGGCCTCTACAGCTTCGATCACAACTGCTGCTCTTCTCTTTTTAAGACCTTCTTTTATTCCCTGTCTGCATTGTTTCAATGTTCGGGCGTAAGTGGCCGGTTCTTCGATTAGCTCGTGCGATTCATCGCTTGCGTATGAGCTCGAATGTTTCTGCAACCGGAGGTTTCTTGGTGGCTTTCGGACACTTGAAAGCAGACTCTCACTCTGCTCCTTCCATTCTAATCCGTGGTTCCTAATGGAACGTTCTTCAGACGTTCTTCTGGATCCAGTCTAAGCTTCAGCTTTACATTTCTACTTCTTCTACACTTAATCTCATCTCTGAGGACTCAGCGCACCACTTGGTCCAAATGATATTAGAATCCGTCATGCGAGGAACTTACTGTAGGCTATCATTTGCTTAGATACTTAGATAGCCCGTCTTTACTGCCTGTGCGGGCTTTAGAATTAGAAATAATTCATTGTTTCGGAGTTTTATTGGTTTAAACATTGTAGTTCCTTGAAGTCCCGAGATCGACCAGGCCAGCGTCCTCTGTGGATCAGAGGAATATTCGCCACCATGCGAGTAGTTTGATACAGGGGCAGTGGTAAATTCTTGTATTGGTTTACTCCTAGGTGTGTTTCCTAATGGAAACGCCAGGCTGTTCCTCAGCATAGGAGACCCAGCTGGTGGTGGGGGATAGGGATGAATTTCTCCGCTGTGCATTGCAGCCAGATACCAAGGAACACCTCCCAGCCACAATTCGGCAGTGAACCGTTCGGCCACTAATATAACATTGTACAAAGTTTTCGTGGATTTTCATTTGTATTTAATTGGATTAATTTTACTTCCCGCCGTTTCCTAGAATTCTTCTATGCTTCAAGTCATTTTTGTCACTAGGGTTCAGAATCTCCATGGGTTGAAAA